AAAACTTCAGTAAAGAAATGGAGTCTGTTGCTCTGTAGCTTAGTTAGGGTCTACATGTTACGGTAGCAGCCTCATATCAGTAATTTGAAAGACCTGCTATTCATCATTACTAGAGTAGGAAATGTCATGTTACTGACTACAACAACTATCTGCATGAAGCTTAATGATACTTTTGTTATCATGTGTAGCATAAATATAACTATCATAAATTAATATATATTTGGTCAAGTACAGGCCATAAAATTATTCATGTCTGGATGTATTAGTGATTTTGAAACTAAGTTAGACAAAGTAAATACAGTACTTTGGAATGTTACTATTTGCATATTATAACTAATTAGCAAGCACAATAGCAGCATCCTAAGGGAAAGGTCCACTGGTAACTTAATTCATTATCTTCTATTATTGTGTATCACGTTAAAATGACAAGCATCTTACACTGTGTAAGTCATCACGATTTTAATTAATTAATCCAGAACTGATAAACGCTTACCTGCTAGTTCTGTCCATGCTGAGCCCTCCTTAATTTTTATATGTAAGCACCTCTTCAAAGTGTTTTTCCATGTTCATTTGCTTACAAACAGAACACAAATATTGTTTTAAAAGTTTTTAATGAGAGTTTTATATGAAAAGCTCAAAATGAGTTTAATGGTAAAATATATATTCTCCCTTACCTCAGGAAGCCATTGAAGGGTAACTCTGGTTGTGACAATAAATTAACCTGCTTGCTATATACCATGCTCACCACTCCCTTCTGCAGGAAAAGCTCACCTGCCCACGTAGACATGAACCAGAACCAGCTCACAGTCCCCCTGCAGGGCCAAGGCTTCAAAACCGGGGACAGATCATTGCGGGACACTCCTCAGGCCTTGAGCTGGGTTTGTCACCAGAGGAGGGAGAGAGGTGGGACGCAGCGGTGGCAGCCAGTACCTGTAATTACAGGCAGTCTGTTGTAAATACAACCCATGGCTGTAGCTTTCTTCCTTAATTATATAATTCCTGCTTCTGGCTCAAGAGAACATCATTTAATGGTAGAGAGTACCTGATAGCAGGCGTTATCAAGTGAAACCACTCTAATCCTCTCTTCTGGAGACTGCTGCAAGCTTGCTGAGGCATTGAGAAGGGATGGTACAGGTCCACACAACATTTCCACCCAACATCCTCTGCCCCCGCACTGTCATATCCCAGAAGTTAAATACAATTCAATTTTAGGAGAAGGAAGGAACCTGATTCTGCCATTAAATTTCTGGCTCTATTTTGTGGGCATAGAGAGGAGTCAATACCGGAGGCATCTGTGCCACCACCTGACTCCACCAGGGACCTGCCTTCAAGAACAGTTCATTACTGTGAAAAATCACATGCAGAACAAAAAAGTGCAAGTGCTCCCTGCGTTCCTGGCCTTCGGCTTCCGCTTTTATTTAGCCCAGGATATAGCTCCATGTTGTAGCAGCACTAGCTTAACTCCGCTTTCATTGACATGATAGGGATTTGGACATTTAACTGTATCAAGTAAGTTTTGACTGTATCGAGAAAAGAATTTAGAAAAAAATACTATTTCAGTGCCTGCAGTCCCATTTAAGTTATCACTCTCTCGCCCTCGGCTTTTCTGTTTATTTTCCTTTGCTGTTATTGCCTACGTTTTCATATTGAGTGGCCCGCAAGGGCCCGGCGGCCTGGGGGGGACCTGCAAGAGTTAGCCGTCAGAAATGCTGGGAGAGGTATGGCATGAAGGCTGCCTGTACAAGGGAGTTAAGCACATTTATCTACTTAGCATTCAGAGCTGAAAAGCCTCTCCTAGAGTTCAGTGCTAACTTTTTCACCAAACCAAGCCAAGGAAGGTTCCCCCCGCTCTTTTTGCCCAATACTCATGATCAGAAGATATAAGATAGGCAAGTTTAAGCACCGGAAGTACAACCACGATCACTAGAACAAGCAGCCAGGCAAATTATTCAGGGCTGTTCTGTCTACGCTGCTTTGGTACCAAACCTACCCCGTTAAACCGCTATCAATACTTCAGTATTATTATATTCATCATGCAAGACAGCCTTGTGTGCTGGTACCTGGGAAATGCACATCACTGTTAGACTGTGCAGGCATAACTTAATGCCCAGCATTTTACTTTTGAATTAGGTAACGGTAGAAGCTTCACTGAAGCATCTGTTTTCAAAAATGCCAGTCAACATACCATCTTCAACATCAAAACCAACTGTACAATGTCATACTATTAATTGTGAGGCAAAAATCATCATTTTTTTCAGTTGTGGGTTTGATTTTACCAAATGAAATTCATGGTGCAATATTAGGAAAATGCTATGATTTGGGTGTGCAATTTTTGCTGAAGATCCAGGCTGTTTTGAGCTTTGCTTTTTAAAAGTATTTTTAATCATGAATTGGAGGTAAAAGAATTATTGCACCCTTTAGTATCAATTTCTGTGCACAGGACCAAGCAAGCCCAGGACAGCACACTGTTTAATGTGACTACTTTTTCAGAATAGACATTAACTGAGGCTTTTTCATGCACAGTTGATTTTGTATAAGCTGATTGACACCTTTGGGGGTCGTCTTTCCACTGACTCATAATTTTGCTCACTCTTGAAAAAGGCTTCTGCACACCCAGTATTCTCTAGTTAAAGCTGAAAATTCAACTCATCATATTTACACAATAAAAAAAAAATCCATTCTGCGTTGTTTTTAATTGCAAATCCTACTCAAGGGACCAATTCTCCTGCTTAGGAGGCAGCCCTGTGCCTTCTACTAGAGAACCAACTGCAGTCAATTATGGTAATGAAATGTCAATAAATATAAAAATTTAATACAGCCTGCTTTTGGTGAGTGGCAGATGAGGACTTGCCTCCCAGACAAATTTGCTGGTGCTGCAAATATTAAATGCACCTGAAAGAGTAGCAGGTTGCCTGAGAGCTCTCCAGTAGAGGGATGGTGGGAGATCCAGACACCTTTTGGGTTTTTCCATTATGGTGTAATCGCTGCAGTAAGGCCAGTCATGTTCCTGACATCCAAACATCTTAACTTGTTATTATGAAGTGAATAGCATATTCCTCCCCCACCAAACTGGAAGCTCAGTGAGGGATTTTTGAATTTTTTTTCCCCTTAACAAAGCATTAGAGTTACAAAAGGGAAATTAAGTTGTGAATGAGTTGACTCTTGTATGTGAACTGCTTCTCAATGGGAAGTAGTTAAATCATTTCATCATATTAAACTTCTCTTCCAATAGAAAGTATTTGGGGTGTGGTACTATTTTTTACATATTTATCTAAGTATATACATTCTTAGATATAAATATATAGAGATACAGATACAGATACCAGATTAACTAGATTAACTAGTTTATGAAAGAAAGTATGCTGTAAAAGAAGGCAATAAAACCTATCTCACAGAATACTTAAGCATAATCGCTTGACTTCATTGAAACATAAGCACAAATTTAAGTGCTTTGCAGAATTGGGGCAGTGTTATTCTTAATATCCACACAAAAAGTGTAACTTCATTTTTTCTGTACAGTTGTCTTCAATCAATGTCTTGAGAGCGCTAAGTGACATATAAATAAAGCATCTTATTTAAAGTCAGTAACCTATTGATTATATTAAGGTCGTCACTAGGAGAATTTATTTTAGTTCCTTTCAATTACTTCTATTCTTCTGTCTGTCTTTTCTGGCTGAAATTTTGACAGGGTTAAAGTCAGGTTTTTGTTCTTGTTTTACTCTTGTTTATGCTTGGGCAAAATCAGTTCAATAGTTTTAAGATCAAAAAAAGGGTGTTTCAAAATACAATATTCCATAACATTTATTTTAAAAAATTAATTTTAAGGGATTAGTGGCAGAAAAATAAAACTTTGCAGTATGTGTCTATATTTCCTCTGGTGATACCTGGCCACTCTTTATTAACTTCTTTATTGTGGGAGACCTCAAAGACAGGATTAAAGCAGTGATACCTTTAAACACATCATTAACCCAAAGCGTGCACTTACCACCGTGCTTGGTCTCAGTTTAGAGCCAGGCATAGTTTATATAATCATTTTATATGGTTATATGAAGTATGGTTACCAATTTCCATGTTGTTATGGAGGCTCCTAAAAAGGAAAGGCTTTGCGAATACTCAAGCAGCCAGGCAAGAAAGGATATTTTCGAAACCCGCCGATAATCTGCTTAGTGTTAGCCAGTCGGCCAGGAGCAATCGGCCACAGTAGCAAGCAGCGGCACTTTGGCGGCCCAGGGGACGTCTGATGAGAACAGGGCCGAGCTGAGGGCACCACAGCTGAACCAGTTCCTGAAATCACAACGTGGCTTCGTTCACTGCGGTTGTTGAACGGGACGCTGTGACCGCAGCTGACCGGCGCACAGCTCCTGCCTGCTCCTCCTTCGCTCACAGAGGAGGAATTCCCAGACCGCGTCCGCCAGAACTAACTCCAGCAAATAACCAGATTTTGCATAGCCAAGGAGAAAATAAGCCACCCTCACAATACCTCTGTTTCCTCTGGGAACACACAGACATTTCTGGGCTTGAATAGATGTTTCTGGCCAAGTTGTGGACACTGGATCATTTCCCATGAATACCATTTTATCCCTCTGGACTAATACAACCAGTGTAGGCATGAAGCCCACTTCATCAGTCTCCCTCCACAGGATCATACAATTACAATTAGAACGCGACCCCAAGTGAATAAAACAAGCTGATACGGCGCACCGCTACCAGCATCATAACCAGTAGTCATATATAACGCTTCTAAAAAAAGCTAATGCAGACAAACCGGCATTCACAGTGACGTGACGTACCATTAAGGTATATGATATAAAAATATTTCCAGTTTATACTGTCGTGCTGAGATAGGTTTGTATATAAAATCATCTTGACTTGATGACATCATTAAATTGAGAATTGATTCTTGTATCCAAGAGTATCCCAGTTACATGGGGTTGCTTGAAACATTAAAAAAGTGATTCTGTGGGTCTGATAATCATACAGAAATATAATTCTCTTTACAGGTGGATTACTCAGTAATAGCATCTCAAGCTGGAGCCACCCTCAACAATCTTATGAGCCATGCCCAAGAACTAGTAGCAAAGCTTCGTTCCCTGCAGTTTGATCTACGAGAATTTGTATGTCTCAAATTCTTGGTGCTGTTTAGTTTAGGTAGGTAAATTCTACTCTTCATACACTACTTATTATTGATATTGGTACTATTTACTATACAATCGTTGAAAATCTTTTGCTTTTATTTATTTTCTCTGAAAAAAACAAAATACAACTTTGAAATATATTTTATGAAGTTTATAGCAATCTGACGATTCTCTTTTAAGTACCACTTGCAGGACAATTGTGTAGCAGGATTAAAAGTGGACTTCTATGGAAATGATTCCTAAAACCTATGGAATTTAACAGAATATTATATGCTGTCTGTATGCGCTTTTTGAATATCCCAGAACACAGATGAAATTCTATTATAAATTCTAGAGAATAGTGGAAAAATACAGAATGGCATATTTCCTATGGTATTGAAGGTAGTCACGGAGCAGATGGAGAGGGGATATGGGTGAAACATACCTGCTTTTTTAAATGCATTTGAATGGTAAGTATAAACAATCTTGTTAGCACATTGCTGTCACATTGCCACACAAATCAGGAAAGTAACTAATAGTTTTAACGAACAATAAAAGGCACTCTTAAAGCGCAAAGTAATGGTAATAGTTTTATGACAGCTCTGGCTAGGAAATAACCTCTAAATGGAGATTGTTTTGCTCTAGTGGAAATGACTCAGAATGGGAAAGATACCTATGCAAGACAAATTAGTTAAATCAGTACCTTCCAATGAATCAGTCAAGAAAAATCACCAACACCAGGAATAAAAAAGGGATTAGGGAGATGGATTCTTCCTGACTTCATAGGAACAGACTTTTCTGCCTGTCTTCTGTTTTAGGTTTGCGCTCTGTTGATTTAATAAAGCTGGTTTAAATAAACTTTGGCCAAGTGAATTTTTACTTACTGGCACACAGTTGAAAGAAGAGACTTAAAAATATAAATAAGATCAGATTCAGCCACCCCTACGTAGCCAAAACTCCGTTTTTACTCAAAAGGTATTTTGTGTGCAGGGACCCTGAACTGTTGAGCCAAGAACAGCAATGAAAGAATTATCAGCAGTGGTGACATTTAGTAAAGTTTTCCTTTAATTTTCTGTTTAAAAAATGCTTCTGTAAAGGAATAAAATTCTACAAATACATTATTATAATACAATCGCTTTTAAACTAAAAGCAGCAAAATGTTTTGGTTGTATTGCAAATTGTCAGTTGCTGTCTTAAATATATCTTTGCATATAGTGTTTATAGAATTTGAACTTGCTTCGGAAAACTTTAGATGAAGTTCTTTTTAAATATAAGTAGCATTAAGAAGAAATACCTCAGTGGTATATGATATGTAGAAATAAATAAGAATTATTTTAAAAACTAAAATGAAGTTAAAAGTATTGACTTTAATGAACCATGTACATTCTGAATCCTAGGAAGGCGTGATAGATTTATCTTGTAACTGTTAACCCGTTGTATTCAGGGCTTTGCCTCTTCCCGTGTCTTAGATTCAGAGAAGGAAAAGCAAACCATCTGTTGCAGAAATTATAATGTTTTATGAATTAATTTGATGAAAAACAAGAATTCAGTTTTCCTAATTCCTAACAAGTAGATTTTCCTGTCATTGGACAGGGGGTGCAGAAATGTCTGAAGAGCTTTGTAGCCTTTCTCTGACAAAATATTTAGAGAATTCGTGTCACTTCAGGGATACTTTAAATTAGCTGAATAAGGGAAGTGCATTTGGAAAATGCTTACATTTAGGTGGCCCTTATATTTGATGACTTTCATCAACATGCTTTTAATTCATTTAGGAATTATTCTTCCTTTAGCTCTTATCTAATTCTGCAAGGTGATGTGCCCAACTTCAAAACGAGTTGGGTAAATATACTTTGCAAGCTTGTACCAAGACAGGTTATCTCATTCTCATCTCATTTATGCCACTGTAAAAAGAGCTCATCCTGCTCCTAACAGGAGCCTTGTAGTCAAGCTACTTGCATACAGAAATGGCATAGCTAAGAAAGGTTCAACGCCTTTGAAACTGATTAATTCATTATTTAGCATATTGCATAATTCAGTTTGCTAATAGCCAAAGCTAGATGTTGTGCAGCAAAGAGTAGAATGTAAAGATGTTACCGCTTAACCCACAGAACTAAGGCTAATATTTAATGAGAATCATGATAAAACTGAAATGAAAAACAGAGAAAGCCTTTCCAGCTAAGCACAGAAGTTTGTTGCCAAACATATGAATGAATAGTCTGGCTGAAGTTAGTGCAACTGCTCACATCCTTCAACTGTTTAAGAGTCAAGTTTTTAAAGACATGGAAGTGCCTAACAATGCTGGCAGACATCCAACAGGATTGTCAAAACCAGCTAAGCATCAAACTCCTATTGAAATAACTGAGAGCAATTACTGTACCTAAGTATCTAGGTGCATTTGCCACATATCTACATGTGTTAGGCATCTCAACAGAAAACTGGTCTTAAGGCCAAAAATACATCATTTAATCAAAACAAATTTTTCAAAAACCTGAGCGGGCTCTCATTGAAAAACTGGCCCTGTAATGTCTAATTAAATAAAAAGCACTTCAAGACATACTAGGCTTTTTACATTTCTAAGGATGTTCATACTGCAGTGTTAATGAAACCAATAAAACCTTATACTGTTGTATAGTACATACTATGTATATGTGTGTGTCTTACATAACGCCTCTCAAAGGCATTATGAAGTCAATAATCTACAGAATTAATTTATTGAGAAGAAGGCTGTTTGTTTTTTATAACTGTGCAGCTGCGAGGCTGCCTTCTAAGGCTGTTTGTTTTTCATGGCTGTACTCTGTATCTTCACAAGATTGCAATCTCCTTGAGGGCAAAGAACTTTGTCTTCACCTTTTTTTCTAACATTTCAGAAGTGATTAGCCTAGTAAACTAAGAGTAAAATAACATTTAAAACCCAAAGCACATACAATTTTTCAAAATACAATTAAATCGTGCCAGTCTTGCTTGCTAGATTTTAAACATGAGAGGTAAATTGTTAATTATTTACTCGTCAGAGGTTCTAAAGGGTTTGTACAAGAAAACGCTTTTGATTGTTAGTAGCATTAAAGAAGAGGCTGCTGAAGTTTGGACAGATGTATTTGTATTGTAGCCTTTATGGCTAGCAGTGCACAAGTCCTTCTGCAGTTGCACAGACTCCACACTAGTGAGTGATACCGTCCAGGCACATGAGTTCAGGTCCTTTTTCCATCTGTGCCCATCCGACCAACATTGCCAACTACACAATGATGCGGCTGACTCAGCGATTATTTGATAAGACAGAATACTTGGGTAACTAATTTCTTAGACAGTGTAACATTTCCTTAGTTTATTTCTTTCTAATATAATATATTTAGAATTAGGTAACTTTTAAGTTTCCTCCATTAGTTATAAAAACTCGATTTTTTTACAGCCAGGTAGTTCTTACCTCTGTACATAAGAGAGTCTCCTTTCATGACTGTGCATCTTCACACATCCGTGACTGTCTTTCCGTCCACCAGAAGTAGTCCCCCATAAGTGTCCTCATGCCATCAGCACAGTTCTGGCAATAGTCACTGCCTCTCTCTGGCGATGAGCAAGTCCATCACTCTTGGAGTATTGCTCTGAGAAGATAAGTTCAGCTGAATCTGTCCTTCGTTGTTGTGCTCCTATAGGGTGAGAGTCAGCAAGGAACAAATCAGTTCTTACAACCAGCACAATCATCACAATCACACTAGGGACGACTGTCTTGACCGTGGTTGGGACACAGCTCTATTTCAGACTAACAAGAGCCTTGCCTCAAAATGACATTAAATCACCAGCAGAGACCCCCTCCTTCACAACTTCACTGCACCATCCACAATCAATCAATTTTTCCGTCAAGGCACAACAAGTTTGGACTAAATTTAAATCCTATCACATTACTCCGATAGCCATCCACTTACTTGATCTACAGAGCAACCTATTATACTAATCCAGCAGGATTCCTTTAGAGACTCACAAATAATCTTTCAATGAGTGAGTCCTCCAGCTGTGTACCTCTTCACTGCACATAAATTAATGTGTTGCTTTCCTGTCTCACAACACACCAGAACAACATTATGCAAGTCAGCCAATCTGACTGACACCTAGGATCACAGACAAGCAAATAGAAACAGGGCTTGTGATCAGAACTGCACTTCCCAGCTTTGGCTGGATGTGATTACGATATGGTAATCGTACCATATGATGATATGATTGCTAACCTGTCTTCTAGCCACTTCTTCCCCAACTTGATCTCTGAGAGACATGACTGAATTCTTGCATCCAAGATGCATCTTGGCTGCAAATGATACACTAGGTGCTAATTGAATTATATATTTGAGGAGGAGCTGCAGCAAAAGCATCTCTTTGCAAAGGAGCAATCCCTCCGCTAGCATGATTTACTTGAAAGAAATCTTCCATTTAGATGGCTTAGAAATAGCAAATTCTGTTATCCATCTCAGTTGCAATTATCTTGCAGTATTAGCTTGCTTCAAGGTAAATCAGGACATCAGTTCTGATAGCAATGATCCTTACCAACCTTTCTTTTGTTGAGGAATACATCATATTTACAACTCCCACAATGTGCATGTTCTGTGGGAGCATCATTCCTATGTTTTCACGCATACTTACTTCCAAGTAAGGAATGGGCTGAAGTGAAGGTAATTAATGTGGACACCAAACCACAGTTTAACTTGGATATATCAACCAAGCTTTTTTCACAGTCTGAAGATACTACAGATAAAAAATTCAGCAGCTCAAGAGATACACAAAACTGGATTTTCCTGACCTCTTACTTGCATTTGGCAGGCTATTTGCAAGAAGAAAGAAACAAGAGCCATGGCAATTCAGCAACTGTAACTGTGCAATTGATGGAAGGTTAGTGTCTAGGCATACATTGCAAAACTGGGAAGGAAGGAAGAAATCTTTGCAAGACCTGAATGTTAACCCTACACTTAATACTAGTTCTGCAGGTTTTACATTTATGAACTCATCTCCAAAATATGAAAAGAGCACATCTAAGAAAGCTGCCTTTCAGAG